GCTAGAGCTACAAGTTTTGTCACGCAAATAAAGGATAACTATTGCTATAATACTTTGCAGTTTCATGAGATGGCAATGTATAGTTTTCATAAAACAAGTGTCNGAAAATTGATGGTGTACGATCATTGATAATGTACTCTAGTATCTATGATTTTAGCCACACCCTCCCGTTGATTACTTCCGTGCAACAGCTCTATGCTATATTGTTGAAGGAAGTAGCAAATAATCACTTTAATAACTGTTTGGATTCTTTTGTAGGTGCTTAGAGTAGCGCATACACCCAGCTCATGCCAAAGTGAATCAGCAATTTCATTAAAAATTAATGACTAAATCAAGACTAATAATATCTATACAGTCCTGACAGGTGTATCATTGCTGATCATGTCTGATACTGGCCTGAACCCGCAATGCAAACTTTTTTATAATTGTCAGTGCCCCGACCGAGTCATCATTTTATCATGACTGATTGCCCAAAATGAATGATTTGAAACTGATTTCAGGACAGATTCAGATTAGCATCAATTATACTCCAATATATTGGGTATGGATTTAGCTAATCATTAAAACCATGATCAGACTAATGATAGCAATGTTGTACACAAATAACACAATAGCCTTTGCCAGGGCAAAACCTACAACCGGGCCATTTCCTCCAACCACATAATAGGCTCACAACAGAAAACAATGGCTTTGAGCATTTGTTTCCTATAGTAGCAGCCTAGCAGGTAAACCAGTCATAGGTGTAGAAAGTTGGGGGAGCAGGGGCATACCTAGTCTTGCTAGCCAGACCATTCCCCAGCAGCCCAGCCTACAGTCATTTGATTGTAGGCTGGGGAATGGTCTGGCTAGCGAGCCTGACTAAGGCGTACCCAGGAAATGGAAAAGGAGAGTTCTAATCATAGTTTGTAGTATCTGTGTTCTAATGGCTATGCTCTATTCAGCTGATTGCTGAATTGCAATCAGCTAATGAGGTAGTTGCTAGGTTATTGGATCACCTTACCTCCACTGAATCAGGATATCAGTACTTCAATCCACCTAATGGTATCATACAATGTAATGGTGTTCATTACTTTGTTTCATTGCAGGTACTAATGTTGGATTGGTTGTTAATAATTTAGGAGGAACATCATTGCTGGTTCTGCCATTGACTATTTAAGTGAGTCTTTAATGCATCACATGACAATCACATGATCTTTTCATTTATTAGCTAGCAAGTTATGCTATAATGTTACAAGAGCTTATATGGGATCATTAATGACTTCATTGGAAATGGCTGGAGTGTCACTAACATTATTAAGAATGAAAGATCACTGGACAGAATATCTTGGTATAGCATAGATAATTATATTTTATTTTGTGCTTCATTTTTCTGCAGATTATCCCACTACTGCTCCTGGTTGGCCTACACAATCCAAAGATCCCAACCTAACTAAGGCTAACTTAATCTACGACAAAATTAATATTTTTGTACATATGAGAATCAGAAGATTGATGGAAATCATTATAAAGCAAGCAACACATGAGATTTGCTCAAATATTCCAGCCTCATTGCATTTAAAAATCATACTAGCTCTATCTAGCTACTTACACAGCCAAGAGTTCACACATGTATGACAGTAACGATACAAGTGTCCCGATTCCTTCTGCTGGTTCTTTAATAGGATAGCAAGAGCGCCCTGGATCTGTTCATTCACTGGTTTCAGTTCAATTCTTAATAATAATTCAAAACTAGTGCGCATGCGTGCATACATAATGAGAACAATAATTTAATAAATAATAAGCAATAATGATCATGGTAGACTCTCAATTCCTCACACTCTCCCTCCATTGACAAGAAGTGTTTTAAGACTTGTCAATCCTCAATGATGTCTACAATATACATAATGTCACACTCAAATACAAATTATTAAGTAATATACACATAGCACACGAATCAAATAATTAATGT